GCAGCAAAAGTAACATCCACGCGACAGCTCATGACGTCAAGCTCCGTACCTGGATCCGCTTCTTGGAAGCCCAGTAGTACCCTTTACTCTTTTTTTTTTTGGTTCTGGGTTCCCTTTAAAAGTAACCAACCCCACAAAGGGTGCCCTTATCATAAGATGGTTGCTGGGCTAATTACCAAGGCTTCCTGTGACGAGGACAAGGAAGACTCGTCGTCGAAGGAAATGTGGTATTCCTGGAAATCCGTCTGCTGGCAGGACCCCTAGACCCTAAACCCTGAACCCTAAGCCCTAAACTCTAAACCCTAAGCCCTAAGCCCTAAGCCCTAAACCCTAAACCCTAAACCCTAAACTCTAAACTCTAAACCCTAAACCCTACCAAAAAAAGGGCCCTGGCAGGACTGCCCGAGAGATGTCCCCTTGCCGCCGGATCGCCGCTTACATGACCGCCATGTCGCCTCCCTGGAAAGGCTTGGGCGGGACCTCGGGTTTAGGGTTTAGGGTACCCAAAGAGCCCAATGTTGCTTAACTAAGGAATATTCCTTAAATCATATAGGGATCCTTAATATGGTTTAAGTTATATTCCTTAATTAAGCAATATTGGGCTCTTTGGGTATAGGGTTTAGGGTTTAGGGTTTAGTGTTTAGGGTAAACTGAGTACACATGACCCCTTAATTCAGAAGTTTACCCTAATGTATACTAAGGTTCAGTATATATGCATTCGGGAAAATTGGAAGATCTCGGTACAGCCCGATCCATCCCCAAATTTCGGTTTCAATCCCTAAACCCTAAACCCTAAACCCTAAACCCCTTTAAATCCACAAGTCGAACCCATCGAGCCCTGAGGTTTCGGTGGAGTGTGGAGAATGCGCCCAATATCTTTACCGAGATTGTGGACGAGCGCCAGCATCGGCCGCTGGTTTCATGAGATGGGCCCTCAACAGGATCGTAGCTACTCAGATCTTCCAAAAACCCACTTCTTAAGGAATAGACCCTAATTCATAGTAATGACCCTTAGTCTGCATCAGGGTGTCCTGAATTACGGGGTTTGAGAAGATCTGGGTACGAAATGAGATCCGCTTTCTTATGTGTTTTAACGTTGTGAGTTCTGAGCTTCGCGTGAGGACTAGTCTGGGGTCCAGGCCACAAGACACCGGTATTTGCAGGGCTTTTGAGGGCTAAACCCTGAACCCTGAACCCTAAACCCTAAACCCTAAACCCTAAACATATCCTGCATCTTTGCAAGGCCGAGGTTCCTGTTATTTGTAAGCCGCCGGTCTGAAAGGGGAAGCCTAAACCGCAACCCTTCAGACTAGGGTTTAGGGTTTAGGGTTTAGGGTATAGGGTTTAGGGTTTAGGGTTTAGGGTTTAGGGTTTGAGCGGCCTGTGGACCCGGGCACACCGGCACTCAGAAAGTAGCTGTTTTTTTGAAGATGCACCGCCCTTCTCGAGGGAAGTGGCCCCCGGGTTTCGGCAGCTGGGTTTTCAAAGCTCCCAGATCCTTGAAAGCCCCTTAATTAATGAATATACCCTACTTTATAGTTATGATCCGTAGTATAAAATTAGGGTATACTCCTCCATTAAGGGGCTTTGGAAGATCTGGGCTTCTAGAGACAAGAGTTTAGGGAAGTTTAGGGTTTAGGATTTAAGGATTTAAAACCCGAAAACCCTAAACCCGAAACCTTAAACCCTAAACCCTAAAGTGGGTTACGGCGCAGCCATGCTGAATGTGGGCCACACAGGGAAGGCAGCCGCAGCGCACTTTGCGCCGTCAGGACATTTTTCTCATGTTTCACCCGTGTTTACTAGCACTTGTGTTTTTAGGGTTTAGGGTTTAGGGTTTAGGGTTTAGGGTTTAGGGTTTAGGGTTTAGGGTTTAGGGTTTAGTGTCGAGACTGTCTCCTAGGATTCAACAATGAGCAAGATCTCTTAGGGTTTAGGGCTCAGGGTTGAGGGTTTAGGGCTTCTATAAGGGTCAAGATATTCAACTGGGTTTAGGGTTTAGGGTTTAGGGTCCTTTAGGGCTTAGGGTTTAGGGTTTAGGGTTTAGGGTTTAGGGACTACAGGAGCTGAGCTTCAAGCTCGAAGGTTGCCTGGGTCTGCGAAGTACTTGGAGTCGGCCGGAGACAGCATAAACCCTAAACCCTAAACCCTAAACCCTAAACCCTAAACCCTAAACCCTAAACCCTAAACCCTAAACCCTAAACCCTAAACCCTAAACCCTAAACCCTAAACCCTACAGAGAGAGAGAGAGGGAGAGAGGGCTCTTCGCAGATCTTCCCAAAACCCTTAATTAAGGAATAGACCCTAATTCAAAACAAAAACCTTGGTATCGAAATTAGGGTTTAGGGTTTAGGGTTTAGGGTTTAGGGTTTAGGGTTTAGGGTTTAGGGTTTAGGGTTATTAAGGGGTTGTGGAAGATCTGGCTATGTAGCTGCAAGCGAGATGGTCACCTGATCAGCTTGGTCCGAAGTTGGTCGAGAAGCGATTTAGCTTGTTTCACTTTGTGCGCAAACATGAGAGAAAGTACTAAGTCTCCTAAGAGACTTTACTTCAAGCTTAGACCTTAAACGCTGCCTATAAAACGCGAATCTCAAATGTCAGGATAGGACTTGATTCTTCTAGCATCGCTTGGACTCAACCCGGTAAATCCTGGTTTTGACCCCAAACCAAAAAAACCTTAAACTAGGCCCTAAACCCCGAACCCTTAACCCTAAACCCTAAACCCTAAACCCTACACCCTAAACCCTAAACCCTAAACCCTAAACCCTAAACCCTAAACCCCAAACCAAAGCATCCTGGGTTGATTTCTGTGGCCCTCTGGGCGCTGCGCGAGCCGTCACCTCAAACCGCATAGCGCTTTGGGCGCGCAGGCAACGGCACGAAGCCGCTGCGTTCGGAGCCGTTTCGGTTGGGGGCGCCGCCGTTTTCTTTTTTTAAATCTGCAGGCTCCCCAGAAGCCCGTGAGGAAGGAGACTCCAAACCCTGCCTGGAACTCTCTTCACTTGAAATTTCATGGGTTATACCTACTAATTTCAGGGGTAGTTACTAAACCCTAAACCCTAAACCCCGGTAAATAGAGTCCCAGATGAACCCTAAAGCCTAAACCCCGAAGCTCGCAAACCAGATCCTGAGTCCGCCAACATACAAGGAATGAGGCTGGTGTTGAGGTTTAGGGTTTAGGGTTTATAGGGTTTAGGGTCCAGGTACCTAATCATGATGTACCTGGGCCCCAAAGCCCCGACCGAAATAGCAAGTACTTGAATTCCCTATGTAGGTACATGAACCCTTAGTAGATCATAGCTACAGCGATCGCCCAAGCTAAGCTTCTATTGTTAGAGACCCTTTCAACTCAACGTTCTGGAGGAGGTCTGGCCCTAAACCCTAAACCCTAAACCCTAAACCGTAAACCCTAAACCCTAAACCCTAAACCGTAAACCCTAAACCCAAGCAATGTTGGAGATGTTGGAGACCCTTTCAACTCAACGTTCTGGAGGAGGTCTGAGAAGGACCCAGCTTGTTGCCAATGGCATCTTGCTCTGCACTGTCGGCCGCAAGCAGGTGAGGAATGAGCCCTTAGCCCCTGAACCCCAAACCCTATAACCCCTAAAACCCCTAAAACCCCTAAACCCTAAACCCTTAACCCCTAAAACCCTAAACCCTTAACCCTTAACCCTTAACCCTTAAACCCTAACCCTAAAACCCTAAACCCTAAACCTTAAACTCATAAACCCCTAAAAGCACCAAACCTTGCTAGCGGAGTGGTACGCTTTTGCCCTATTTTTTGGGTTCTGGGTTCCCTCTTGATGTAGCCAACCCAAAGGAAGGGGTTTAGGGTTTTGGGTTTGTGTTAGGGTGTAGGTTTAGGGTTTAGGGTTTAGGGTTTAGGGTTTAGGGTTTAGGGTTTAGGGTTTAGGGTTTAGGGTTTAGGGTTTAGGGATACTAAGAGGCCCTAAATCCTCGACATCAGTGCATGGGCCTGACAGGATTGCAGAAGGGTGCTTGCCCAGTTTTCTTGGCTAATTCTTGACGATTCCCAGGTAGGCCCGACCACCCCCAAAGCCCTGAACCCTCAATCCAAAACCTTAAGCCCTTATAGGGTTTAGGGTTTAGGGTTTAGGGTTTAGGGTTTAGGGTTTAGGGTTTAGGGTTTAGGGTTTAGGGTTCTTAACACGCAAACCTTAATCACTTAACCCTAGGGCTTTAAGTCTGTAGGCATCTGAACCATTGAGGCCTCCACCCTAACAACTAAACCCTAAACCCTAAACCCTAAACCATCCTCAGCCAGACTCTCCTTGGCTAGTTTCCGTAAACCTCTAGGACCCGGGGTAGGCCCTCATTTCCCCTTGTAAATGGTTTAGCTTCCCTGATATGCCCCTTGACAACCAAAAAGGGGGGCACCCTTTGTCTTTCTAGGTTACTCTCGGGTCTGGGCCCTGCACCCTAAACCCTAAACCCTAAACCCTAAACCCTAAACCCTAAACCCTAAACGCAGTGGACCCCATGTCGCAATCTCCCAGTGGCGGGGTTGGGGTCAACCTGGGTCCGGAAGGATGTAAATGCAAGGATGCGACGCCCATTTCGCTGATCTGCATGAGAACCCCCCCACAAAACAGGTCTTGGGGTTGAGGGTTGAGGGCTACTATGTGCTCAAGAGCCCCCTAAACCCTAAAACCCTAAAGCCCTAAAACCCTAAAACCCTAAAACTCTGAACCCTAAACCCTAACCACCCCCCCCACCCCAAAACAAAAAGAAAAACATTTTCTCTCTTATAAGGGTAATATGGGGATTGTTTTCTTGTATAGGATCCGCATGGTTTTGTCCCCATGCTTATAAGGTGTCTACCCCATCCCTCCCCCCCCCCCCCCCCCCCCCCGTCCCAAGGCCCTGAACCCTAGGGTTTTGGTGTCTCAGGTTCGGGTTTAGGGATAAGGGTTTAGAGTTTAGGGTATCCTAACCCCTGAATTAAATCCGAAGTCCGATACAAGCGTCGTTGCTGCCAGGGCAACCCCATGCAAGACAAGCTCTACGAAGCGTCCGCGCTCCACAACGTGGCGGTGGGAAAGTGGTAGCTCGGATGTCCCTTCAGGGTTTCGGGGTTAGGGTTTAGGGTTGAGGGTTTAGGGTTTAGGGTTCAGGGTTTAGAGTTTAGGGTTTAGGGTTTAGGGTTTAGGGTTCAGGGTTTAGGGTTTAGGGTTTAGGGCCGATTTGCAACTTTAAACCCAGCCGCCTTCGCTTAAATGTCCCTTCAGGACTTCAGACACGGTTCCCAGAGAGCCCTTCATACCCCTTAGTTTTGGGAATACACCTGAAAATGTATGGGTTTAGGGTTGGGTATATGGTGAATTCTCTAAATAGGGGGTCCCATTCGGGGTACCCTAATAACAGGGGCCGCCTTAGAAATAAGGACCCCAAAAGGGACCACAATTTAGAGAAACAAAAAAACATATATATATATATTTATTTATTTAAGTAAATATATATATATATATATGTATTCCCTGATTCTAGTTTTAAGGTATATTCCCTAGTTAAGTGGTATAAAGGGCTCTTGGGGTTAAACCCGAATACTCCCCACTTCTCCCTAAGCTTCCCTAGGGTTCCCAAGGGTACCTACCCCCCATGACCTCCCCTCCCTTACGAACCCTAAACCCGATAATCATATCCGCACCGATTGCCCAAGCTGTTATTATTCGAGACCCTTTCAACGTTTTGGAGGAGGTCTGGTTTAGGGTTTAGGGTTTAGGGTTTAGGGTTTAGGGTTTAGGGTTTAGGGTCCAGGGTTTAGGGTTTAGGGGTTAGGAGTCGAAGGACGCAGCCTATTGCTGAACCCCCCTCGCTTAAGAGCCTATGACAATGAGAGGAGAGGTGTGCTGGAATCTGTCAGGGCGCGATTGCAGCCAGAAAAACCCTAAACCCTAAACCCTAAACCCCGGCTTTCCAGGGCTTAATGCACCCAGGCAGCCTCTTTTGCCTTGAATTATTTAGGGGATCCTGAATGTGATTTAAGGTATATTCCTTACTTAAGGGGCAATTGGCATGTCCCGAAGTAAAACAAACCTCCCAACACACAAAGGAGAACTCCGGGCTCTGGAGTTGTTAGGGGGGGTTAGGGTTAAGGGTTTAGGGTTTAGGGTTTAGGGTTTAGGGTTTAGGGTTTAGGGTTTAGGGTTTAGGGTTTAGGGTTTCCGGTTTGGGGATGCAACTCAAGCACGAACACCATGATGAACATGGCGCTAAACCCCTCTCCTGTCCACCGCGTTGCTCAGGTATAGCGAATGCCCCTTCAAGGACCCAGTCATGGGACTCTAACTCTTGAGGGTTTAGGGTTTAGGGTTTAGGGTTAGGGTTTAGGGTTTAGGGTTTAGGGTTTAGGGTTTAGGGTTTAGGGTTTAGGGTTTAGGGTTTAGGGTTTAGGGTTTAGGGTTTAGGGTTTAGGGTTTAGGGTTTAGGGTTTAGGGTTTAGGGTTTAGGGTTTAGGGTTTAGGGTTTAGGGTTTAGGGTTTAGGGGGACCCCTAAGGTTGCACCCTGGGTATGGGGACCCTTTTTGAAGCTCCTTCTGAGGAGTAACGGAAACACTTTGCATCGAAGCATTGACGGAACTAATCCAAAAAAAGTTTCGGACCTCAACATGACAACATTTCTCAGCATGTTTAAGAGCAGGTTCCGGAAGGTTTAGGGTTTAGGGTTTTGGGTTTAGGGTTTAGCGTTTAGGGTTTAGAGTTTAGGGTTTAGGGATTTGCACGTTGTAGCGTTCAGAGCCTGACTACCCACAGAGACTCCAATGTCCCTTAACTAAGGAATAGACCTTAAATCCAAGTAGGATCCCCAATCTGATTTAAGGTACATTCCTTAATTCAGGGATAGTGGAGTCTTTGGGCTACACCACTTAGCTCCAATCCCTTTCAAACGTTGTATGTACTCTAAAGCCACGTATAGCAGAGGTAAAAGCATCGTCCTGGGGGTGGGGAAGCCAAACGGGTCCTCTACGAGATCCAATGCAGCAGCTCCTGTGCGAGGTACCCAAAGAAGGCCTTCCTAGCCTAGGCCCTAACACCCTAAACCCTAAACCCTAAACCCTAAACCCTAAACCCTAAACCCTAAACCCTAAACCCTAAACCCTAAACCCTAAACCCTAAACCCTAAACCCTAAACCCTAACCCTAAACCCCGTAGACATGAACACAGGAACCGACACATGGGCGGTTCTCTAAGTTAGGGTCCCTGTTCGAGGTTCTTATGATAAGGCCGACGCCTTAGAAAGGACGCAAGAAGGGACCACGACTCAGAGATCTGCCCACATGGTTTTGGGGTTTGGGGTTTCTGGTTTTGGGGTTAAGGGCACAATTGCACACATACACGCCTGCACCCTAAACCCTAAACCCTAAACCCTAAACCCTAAACCCTAAACCCTAAACCCTAAACCCTAACCCTAAACCCTAAACCCTAAACCCTAAACCCTAAACCCTAAACCCCCCTAGGGCCCGAACCTCACTACAAGTGACCAAACCCCTCAAGAACACCCCCCAAGAACCCGAAACTCTAATCAAAACCTAGTCCTTGACACCCTAAGTTTAGGTTTCTTCAGGGGTTAGGGTTAAGGCATTAGGCTTTAGGGCTTACACCCTAAGCCCTAAACCCTAAACCCAAAACCCCTGCCCTCAAGCAAGCCATAGCCCTTGGTCTCGACATCCCAAATCCCCTTAAAACCAAGAAGGGTACCTTTTTTTCCTAGGCTATTTCCGGGTCTAGACCCCAAACCCTACACCCTACACCCTAAACCCTACATCTAAACCCCAAGTCTCGATATCCCACCGCCAGGATGGCCTGAAGCCCGCGAAGGATGCGCTGCAGATCTTCCGGGAGCTAGGCCTGAAGAAGTTCCAGGCCCCGGGTTTCGGGTTTAGGGTTTAGGGCTTGGGGTTTAGGGTTTAGGGTTTAGGGTTTAGGGTTTGGGGTTTGGGGTTTGGGGTTTAGGGTTCAGGAACCTCATTCCCCGGCAGCCCTGGGGACATTTTGCATTTTTCCCTTCTTGCGGTACAAGAGGATCCTTTTTCAGGAAAGCTGTCTCAGAGGGCTTTCAGAGCCATCCTGCGATCTAGATACCCCATATACCTTATATTATATTGTCCCTATGCACCTAAACCCTAAACCCTGAACCCTAAACCCTAAACCCTAAACCCTAAACCCTAAACCCTAAACCCCTAAACCCTAAACCCGAAACCCTAAACCCTAAACCTAAACATTGTCCCTATGTACCTAAGTAGCCCCCTTAATAACCCTAAAGAACCTGTAAGGTCCCTTAAACCCGTGACCCTCCAAACTTGGAATGTTCCCCCTTATACTAGCAATCCCCCCCCCCCCCCCACCCCCCGTATTAGGTGGGTACTTCTTCCTTGCTTTTCTCACCCAGCTATTTTGGACAGAAACTTCAGATGATAATGTTTTGTGAAAAATGGTTCCATCATCTCCATTTCGAGCATTGGCATCAAAAGCGCTCGAATCAACCGCAATATCGCTCAAACCATCTTTAAATCGATTTCATTGTTTGTCGAGTAGTCATCATCGAAATACGCATCATTTATTGCTTGGTTGTCATTCCGTCTTTTGCCAATTTCAAGTAAAGTCTCGAAGGCCATAACTGCTATTCCGTATCAATGGGTACTTCATCGAACGTGATGCAACTCCAACATATCACGCGCGACAGGTCCCGAAAGAATGGAACATTCCAGGACAAGTTCCATACGGAGTTTGGGTGTTTTTTGATTCTACAGCTCCCTAGAACCTTGGCACTTACCTTTTTCGTGTATGTATGTATTGTATACGTTGGTCCATGATTTAAGGGGGAAATCCCAAGTTTAAAGTTTAAGTTTCGGGGGCAGGGTTGAGTGGAAGATGGTTCGTGGCTTATAGAGTTTCCTGCAGTGGTTCGGGTTGAAGTTTCTTGAAGTGTCGCTCAGGCGACCTAAATCCTAAACCTCACCCTAGACCACAAACCCTAGCCCAAAACCCTATAAACCCTAAACCCTAACCCTAAACCCTAGCCCTAAATCCTAAACCCCAAAACCCAAACCCTCCAAAGCTGCTTGCAGGCGGCACAGCTGCACTCCATAGCAGACTGGCACCAACGCCGAGGCAGGATGGGCTTTGGGGGCCGTAGAGGCTGCGTTGGGAAATTAGTTGTAGTGTTTAGGGTTTTGGGTTTGGGGGTTTTTAGTGTGGGGTTCAGGGTTGATAAGGTTTAGGGTTCAGGGCCCTATACACCCACAATTCCGAAAACAAATTCTGAACATGTTGCTTCTCCACCATAGTTCAGCCCTGTTTATGAGGCGCCCTTCTCACTTAACAGCTACTCAAGGCTTTAGGATTTAGGGTAAGATGCTCTACCATTGGAACTCCCTACCATTGGAACTCCCCTCCGAGAAGCTTGACTGCAATCTCTGCCGATACGTGGAAAGAATGCGATTTCAGAACTCAGAGCTTCTCCAAGATAGACAAGGACCCAGCGTAGGCCCTTATAATATGATCCCCCTTTTTTATGGTTTAGCTTCCCTCATGAGCCTTAAACCAGATTGGGCACCCTTCTTATTCCTACTCTTGGTCTAGTAGAGGGCGGGGGGGGGGGGGGGGGGTATAGGGGCATTTAGGGATTATGTTTTTTATTATATGTATTTTTTTTAGGGCGGGGGGGGGGGGGGGGGAAATGTTTATAGGCTCCTTAAGAGGGAGTTTTCATGGGTGGTGGGTAGTTACTAGTTAGGGAACCTTAGGGAAGCTTAGGGAGCCTTAGGGAGAAATGCGTGGGTTATCTAGCCCCCATGAACCCCCTCCCTGAAGGACTCCATAGTACGATTACCTTCCCTTCCCTTCTCCAAAGTACACTCACCTGAACAGTAAAATCAACCTTGCTGCATATCAAGTGCATCCTTCTAGTAAGATGTATACCTTTCTGTTGACCAATACCTTCATGTTTAGGTGTAGGTGACTCGCATGTTTATCCTTTCGAGTCCCCCTAAACAAAGATCCCATATCAAAGGCACGTTCAAGGCAAAAACCGAAACCCTAAACCCGAAACCCTAACCCTAAACCCCAAAACCCTAAACCCTAAGCCCTAAGCCCTAAGCCCTAAGCCCCAAGCCCTAAGCCCTAAGCCCGAACAACATGCCTGTTGCCAGGCATCGGCAAGCAGGGCCTACCTTTCGCCGAGGCTGCCGCAGGGGCGTCTCACTGGTTCTCAGTAGGAAGTTCGGGTTTGGGGTCCTAAACCTTGAACCCTAATCCCTAAACCCTAAACCTTAAACCTTAAACCCTAAACCCTAAACCCTAAACCCTAAACCCTAAACCCTCGCGGAATCGCCAGGTTTAGGATTTAGACAGGGCTTTGGTAAGGGGGACGGGAACGAGGCCTTAAAGGACCCCACACCTTCTCAGGCGACGCAAGCTTGTTTTAGTCTACGTAACCTGAAGGCGAGGTCTCTCCAGCGTTTTAGGGTTCAGGGCGTTGAGGCTTCAGGGCTGTTAGGAGTTTCAGGGTTTCTACAATTTGCTTCAGAACCCCCCCCCCCCAGAAAAAAACAAAAACATAGTCCTCCTTACAAGGGTAGTATAGGGATTCTTTTCTTTTTTTTTTTGTGGGGGGGGGGGGGTTCTTAAGCACATAATGGGCTTTAGTAGGGGTTTAGGGCTCCGGGGGAGGCTTGCGAGGCTTCCGGATTGATGGCTCTGGGACGACGGTTTCGCAGGTGGAGTCTGCAGCTACAGATTTGGGGCCCCTGAAGCTTGGGGTTCAGGGTTTAGGGTTCAGGGTTTAGGGCTTAGGGTTTAAGGGTTTCGGTTTAGGGGTTTCGGGAGTCCTCAAAGTCTGACAAGGAGTCCTTGAAGATCTTTCAGGAGATCGACTCTGGCAAGGCCCGGTCGGAGATGGATTCGGTCTAAACCCTAAGGCCAGAGCCCTAAGCCCTAAACCCTAAACTCTAAGCCCGAAACCCTAGACCCTAAACCCTAACCCCAAACGCCTTAATTAAGGGTTTGGGACTTACGTTTCAGGTTGAGAGTTTTCTTTGCTTCAGAGCCCCTAAGCCGGAGTTTGCCCTCGAAGAGTGTGTGGGAAGTGCTTCTACATCCCTTTCAGTGTTCCTAAACCCCAAAACCCCTAAGCCCTAAACCCTAAACCCTAAGCCCTAAGCCCTTGTACATGCCATGGCCCTTGGCCATTAGTCCAAGCTTTAGGGTGCAAGCAGAACACTCTTTAGCCCAGTAAGCCGGGCTCTCCCGGTAGGGAGTCCAGGACTTGGGCCAGTGGCAGTTGGGCCGGGCATGGGTTTAGGGTTTCATGCAGACCCGAGACCCTCAACCTCAAACCTCAAACCCTGAAACCCCCCAACAACCCCGCAAACCCAAACACATGGCCTAAACCCTAAACCCTACATCCTGAACCCTAAACCCTAGCCCTAAACCCTGAACCCTGAAACCTCAAATCCATGAATCCCCAAGCCACAAAACACCGCGGAATGACAGGGCTGGGAGTCGGCCGCGCTTTGCACGTGCCGGACCAAGTGGATCAGTTTTTGTTTTGCAGTTTTAGGATTTAGGGTTTAGGGTTTAGGGTAGGGTTCAGGGTGTAGGGTTTAGGGTTTAGGGTTCAGGGCGTAGGTTTTTAGGGTTTAGGGTAATAGAGATTATGGTTTTTGGCTTGAGGGTCAAGGCTTGCGTGTTCAGGGGATTTTGGCTTCTGGGTTTCGGGCTCAGGGGTTCAGGGGTTTAGGGACTTTTTTGGTTTAGGGTTAAGGGTTTAAGAGGTTTGTGGTTTTGCAGCTGTCTGGTTTCGGAGTGAGATTGGGTTGACACGAAGCCACGGGTACAACTTTAGCTGTCCAAGGCAGAGTCCCGTGAGAGTAGGCCCTTATTCCCTTCTTTAGGGTTAAGGTTCCCGTTTAAGTTCCTTTAAACCGAAAAGGGCACCCTTTAATTCCTAGGTTACCCTTGGGTCTCGTATGTCATAGCTACCTGACGGGTGCACGGTGGGCTTTATTAAGATGAACCTATCTTGGAACATGTTGCAGAGAGTTTAGCTGGCCAACACAAAGTCACATCGGCTAACCCCCTCCCCGAAACGGTTGCACTGAAGCTGCCCTTCGGCCTCATCACACCGCGACCCGAACCCCGAACCGCCTTCTTCCAAGGCTGGTTTCGGCCCTTATGGACAAGGCGAGACTTTTGGGGTTTCGTACCAGGGGTTTAGGGTTTAGGGTTTAGGGTCAGCTCTTCACAGGAAAATCTCGGGGGCCAGGGTCCCTTGTCGGTTTCTAGATGGTCCCCTAGAGGGTTGGCTAGGGAATATAGGGTACTCAATGCCGGACTTGCTTGTTGAGAACTGGTAAAAGCCGGGTATAGGACTTCGGGCACAGCCTCATCCCGAACCCAGCTAACACCCTAAGCCCTAAACCCTATACCCTATACCCTAAACCCTAAACCCTAAACCCTAAGCCTCACAGGTGACTGTAAGCCACAAGCCCCTGGAGCGGCCCGGAACCTTAACGCGGCCTAAACCCAAGTGACTCAGGGAAACGCCCGGCTAAACACTCTACAACCCTACAGCTACCCTAAACCCTAAACCCTAAACCCTAAACCCTAAACCCTAAACCCTAAACCCTAAACCCTAATCCCTAAACCCTAAACCCTAAACCCTAAACCCTACCTAAACCCTAAACCCTAAACCCTAAACCCTAAACTAAACCCTAAACCAAATCGACCCTGTACAACCCCGACAACGTCTTACAGTATAGCCAGGGCAAGTGCTTCCCCTAAACCCGAACTAAACCCTTTGTTCAGACCCGAAGCTTCGGAAATCCGCAGGCTTCAGCCGAAACTCGCTCGCCCCACGCCCATGAAACTCACACCCCTGAACTTGGGTTCAGGGTTTAGGGGTTGGGATTCAGGGTTTGGGGTTTTGGGGTTCGCCCAAAAAACCCTGAACCTTAAAGGGGTTTCGGCCTGGGGTACAGGGTACCCCAAAACCCAATACCCCCCAAACCTCAGAAACCCAGACCGGCACCCTACTTGGAGGTTCATGGGCACTTATCACCCCAATTATTGCTGCACTTATAAACCCCCCAAGTCCCCTAAGTAGGCTATAAGTAGACTTATAAGTTACTTATAAGTGGGGCTACCCATGAACCTCCAAGTAGACCCAAAAGTTTGAACATTTTCTCTGCCAGGACGACACAGAGACGGCACTGCAGGTGGCCCAAGCTGGGCGCGGCGCTTAAGAGGGGAGGCTCAAAACCCTAAACCCTAGCCCTAAACCCTAAACCCTTATCCCTAGAACCCTAAACCCCAGACCCGCTCTAGGCTGTTGGGGGCTCTGCCGCTCCAGGGTTCTGGGGTTCGGGGCCTCTGGCATTTCTAGGCGAGATGCTGGGTGTTGACGTGGAGACTCGGAACCAGCACATGTGAAACAGGTTTATATACCTGTTTTTGGTGAGTGTATATAAGGTTCCTTTCTAATATTGGTGAGTGTATATACTTGGTGTCCTTTTGGGGGTACAAGAAATATATACCTCATGTCAGTTTTCCAATTGCACGATGTTGTTGGTGACCCAGCAACCCCCCCGAGGCCTGAGTCTCCTGGGACCCTACCTGTAGAGCTTCGATTTTGCACTTGCGAACCTCTTGAATCCCTCTTTTTGATAGTTCTGAGGTTATCTGTATTAGTGGAGTTAGGGGGCCAAGCAAGCCAGAACCTGTGGGTTCTGAGTAGAGGGTGAGGGAGTTAGCTGCCTTATATCCCCCCGTTACATATCTTCAATGGATGTTAGAGGGTACCTCTTTCATCCCCTACCAAGAGCCAGTTTGGGGACCCTTTTTGAAAGATCCAAGGGTCTAAGGGAATATATACGGGCCATATTCGGAGTCTATTAGGGGAGCCTCCTAGGGTCCAAGTTAGACGCCCTTGAAGCCCTAAACCCTCAAACCCTAAAACCCTAAACCCTAAAAACCCTAGACCCTCTGCCCCTAAGCCCTACACCCTCTACCCCTAAGCCCCAAACCCCAAACACCCAAACCCCAAACCTCAAGCCCCAAACCCCAAACCCCAAACCCTAAACCCCAAACCCTAAACCCTAAACCCTAAACCAGCAAGCCAGAAACTGGTCGAACTGAGGGTGGAAAAGTTCAAGCAGAAGGGTGACAAGCAGGCCGAGGCCGACCCCGGCTGGTTGTGACGGGCCGAGGATGCCCCAAATCACTTAGGGTTTTTAGGGGTTCTAGGGGTTTTAGGGGTTTTAGGTTTAGGGTTTTGGGGGTGTGGGTTGTTGGGGTTTAGGGGTTTTGGGTTTTTGGGGTTTTGGGGTTTAAGGTTTTGGGGTTAATGGTTTAGGGTAGGGGTTTAGGGGTTTAGGGGGGTTTACGGTTCAGGGGGTTAGAGGTTTAGAGGTTTAGGAGTTTAGGGTCTCTAGGCCCTTACTTGGGGGGAGAGGGAGGAGTCGGGTGCAGGAGGGTTTAGGGCTTTTGGGTTAGGTCTTTGTGGGGGATTGGCTTGCCAAGTTTCGTGCCTTGCTTTCTCTCTTCAGGGTCAAAGAGCTAATGTTCTGATGACCCTACGGGTTCAGGCTCTAGGATTCAGGGCTTCGGAACCTAGCCCTAAGAGGCCCTGTAAGCCCTAAAGACAGGCCCAAGGATTGGACCTCCTTGCCGGCGTGTACCTGGCAAGCAACGAGAAAGATGAGGCCTCGCCTATTGAATACAGGGGGCCTGCTTGCCAGAATCCTTGCATAGTCTAAACCCTAACCCCCTAAACCCTAAACCCTAAACCCTCAACCCTCAACCCTAAACCCTAAGCCCTAAGCCCTAACCCTAAATAGCTCATGGAGTTTTGGGTTCAAAGAGGGTCGAGGTTGTGGGGTTGAGAAACTGAGTGGCACCCTTTTGCCCTTTTCGGGTTCCGGGTTCCCTTATAAAAGTAACCACCCTAAGCCCTATCCCCTAAACCCTAAACCCTAAACCCTAAACCCTGAACCCTGAACCCTGAACCCTGAACCCTAAACCCTAAACCCTAAACCCTAAACCCTAAACCCTAAACCCTAAACCCTAAACCCTACACTCCAAAAAGGTTACCCTATTTAACATGGCCACTGGGCTACCAAGTTCCGGCTGTCCAGGGGTTAGGGTTTCGGCTGACAATGGTTGCGGGATTGAGGCAGCCCTGGGTTTAGGGTTTAGGGTTTAGGGTTTAGGGTTTAGGGTTTAGGGTTTAGGGTTTAGGGTTTAGGGTTTAGGGTTTAGGGTTTAGGGTTTAGGGTGGGGTTTAGGGTTTAGGCTTCGGGGTTCTTGGTTTCAGGTTTTGAAAGGTTGGCGGTTTGGGGTTTTCTGGCATGTCGGGCTTAGAAAGGTTGAAGGTGTGTATAGGCTTGGCGGGGCAAAAAAAGTTGTTCACTTCCCTAACTAGTAACCCTAAGCCCTAAGCCCTAAACTCCTAAACCCTTAAGAACCCGGCTTAGCAGTGGTCTCGCCGGGAGTCCACGAGCTTGATCGGGAGCTTGGCTTCGGACCATGATGGCCCCCAACAGCCTGTTGCAACCTCGAAGGTCCCTCGTGCGGCCCTAAACCCTAAACCCTAAACCCTAAACCCTAAACCCTAAACCCTAAACCCTAAACGTTCAGTAAGGAGGCCCTCACTGTTTTGTTCCCCCCGGGAGGCTCTGAAGTTGGCGGAGGAGTCCTTGGCCTTGTTCCGGGAGGCTCAAGCTTTGGGTTTAGGGTTTAGGGTGTAGCGTTTAGGGTTTAGGGTTTAGGGTTAGGGTTTATTGGGTTTGTTGGGGTTTAGGGTTTAGGGTCTAGGGTCTAGGGTTTGGGTAGGGTTTAGGGCTTACTAGGGTTTAGGGTTTAGGGCTTGGGGATTAGGGCTTGGGGATTAGGGTTTGGGGTTTCGGGTTTGGGGTTTTGCGTTTGGGGTTTAGGGTTTCGGGTCCGGGGTTACAGGGTTTCGGGTTTGGGGTTTAGGTTTTGGTGTTTAGGGTTTCGGGTTTCGGTTTTGGGGTGCAGGGTTTCGGGTTCACGCTTTGGGGTTTGGGGTTTCGGGTTTCGGATTTAGGCTTGGGGTTTCGGGTTTGGGGATCAGGGTTTGGGGTTTAGGGTTGGGGGTTGCTCATCCGGAGTTTCGGATTGCTATGGTTTTTGGGGTCTTTTGCATACCCTAAACCGTAAACCCTAAACCCTAAACCTTTCGGTCTTCAGCGTGTAGCCATGTTGGGGATGCTGAAACTCAAGTGGTGTGGGGGTCTGGGAATCTTGCGGCTTCATGGGTTTGTGCCCTGAACCCTGACCCTATCAGCCCTAATTTTTTAAGGTTCAGGGTAAAGCCTAGACCGGAAGTTTATTGTTTAGCGTTGGTTTGGTGGTTTTCGGGCCATCAACCGGAAGGCTCCAATGCTTGGAGGTTCATGGGCGTTTAAAACCACAATTATTTGTCTACGTAAAAAGGATGTGGGGAGGGGGCATATAACACAGCTGTAATTGGGGTTATCAGGTCCCCAGACCCGAGGGTACAACCTAAGGGGTCCAAGGTAGTGTCATAAACCCTAAGCCCGAAGCCCTAAACCTAAACCCTAAACTTTCGGAGTAAGTCCAGGGTTCAGGTTTTCCTGAGCCTGAGCTTGCAAAACCCAAAAAACCCAGACCAAAAAAGAGATTTCGCAGCCTGTCTGGTCACATTGATTGCTACAAACACTTAAACCCCTAAGGCTCCGCGCCTGCAATTACGTCAAGTACTACAGCCCCAAGTTTTAGTAAGTAGAGAATGTGGCAGTTAGCGGCCTCATATCACCCTAAGCTCTAACCCCTAAGCCCACACCATTAAGGGATCGTAAAGGGTCTTTTCATTCCCTTTAAGAACCCTTGCAGCACTGAACCTAAACTCCAAAATATCGTAAACCCTAAACTCCCTACACCCTGCTAGGCAGACTTTAGTGTTCTCAATGCAGTTGAGTAAGAGGCCCAAGAAACCTAAGGGTTCTGGATTACGGTGTAGAGTCTAGAGTTTCGGGCGTCGAGCCGCGAACAACAAGCTACAGTTGAGAGCGTTTTGGTTGTTCTTTCGAGGTCCTAAACCCTAAGCCCTGAACCCTATCCCTCAACCCCCAAACCCTCAAACCCTCAAACCCTCAAAATCCTCAAACCCTCCAACCCTCAAACCCTCAAACCCTCAAACCCTCAAACCCTCAAACCCTCCAACCCTCAAACCCTCAAACCCTGAAACCCTCAAACCCTCAAACCCTCAACCGGCCTAACCGGGCAGGTCGGCGACAAGCGCGCTGAATCCTACGTGTTGCATACAGTCTCTCAGGCCACGGGCTGCTGGTGAAGATAAGCAACCTTAACCCTAACCGGGTTTAGGGTTTCGGGTTTAGGGTTTAGGTTTAGGGTTTAGGGTTTAGGGTTTAGGGTTTAGGGTTTAGGGTTTAGGGTTTAGGGTTTAGGGTTTAGGGTTTAGGGTTCAGGGTTCAGGGTTCAGGGTTTAGGGTTCGTTTAGGAGTTTTAAAGCCTAAGTTCCCTTTGTTTCCCCATAAGTTAGACCCTATCAATTCCCCAAGCTTCATAGGCTTCCCAAATCCCAAGCCCCTCATGTCCCTACTAAGAACCAGCATGCGCATTGCAACAAGTTGGCAAACCCAGGATTAGGGTTTGGGGTTGAATGAGGATTTCGGGTTTAGGCTTGTGTGTGTTTAGGTTTAGGGGTTCCAGAGTAGGCTTTTATTCCCTTATTGGTTAGGGCTTAGGTTCCCTTATAGGCTCCTCTGAACCAAAAAGGGGCACCCTAGCAACCCCAGGAATTGAGGCATTTAGGGTGTCGGGTTTTGACTCAGGGTTTAGGCGTTTAGCATCTGGATCTTAGGGGCTTTTAGGTTGAAGGTTGCTTGGGGCTACTGGGTGTTGGGCGATTTTGGGTGTTCAGGTGTCCGGATCTTGGGCATCGTATTTTTTCATCCGCAGTCGCAGTCAGGGGCATGCTTTACAGGTATTCAAGGGGGACCCTTGGGTAAAATGGGAATTCACTAGGGAACCTACCCTGTGGTAATTTCGGAATGGGTATTAGTGCTAGGGGGAGGGGATTAACTCGTCTACCCTGAACTCCCTACTAGGGTCAAGGGTTTAGGGCTAGCCCTAAACCCTAAACCCTAAACCCTAAACGCTAAACCCCAAAGGTGCAGGCTAAGGCCGACAACCACGAGGAGGCTGTGAAGCTGGTCCGAAGCTTAGGAATCAGGGCTTTAGGGTTGGGGTTGAGTCTAGGGTTTAGGGTTTAGGGTTTAGGGTTTAGGGTTAAGGGTTTAGGGTTTAGGGTTTAGGGTTTAGGGTTTAGGGTTTAGGGCATTTTGATTTTGGGGTTTAGGGGATTTCGTGTAGGGTTTGGGATTTGGGATTTTGGTTTTGTAGGATTTAGGTTTTAGGGTTTAGGGTTTAGTGAAACGACCCAAGCTTCCCTTGAATTGCGGGCGCTGGAGGTTAGGGTTTAGGGCTAACAACTCGAGGGGGGCGGGAGCCAATCTAGGTACTACTTTATGGCCGGGGGGGGTAGTTACATCTTATGCTGCTCATTCTAACAAGATCACTCCCCGTTCGGCCCCCCCCTGGCCCTATCCCAGCCGTAGATACCTTATTACGAACCCCATCAATCCTAAAACCCCGACAGCCCCTACACTCTAACTCTTGAGTTTCGCTACCCATGTCTTGGGTATCAGATGATCACGCGTGATGTCTTCGGCCCGAATCCCCCCCCTCCCCCACCTCAACCCGGAGCCCTTATATCACACCTTTACCCTAAACTCTAAACCCTCTCATTCCTCTAAGGCTGGAACCCAGCGCCCTTAGCATGGTCCCTTACCCTTGTTTAAAGGGATTTACAGGGATCCGAAGTATGGGCCTACTTATGCATTGTATATACAAGGGCTATACAGCAAACGACCCAAAATTGAGAGCCCACACCTCGGATCCCCGAATTTCTCTGTCGACACCAGGAGAGGGAAGAGGATGATGGCTTAAGTCTAGGACCCAGAGTCAACCCCAAACCCTAAACCCTAAACCCTAAACCCTAAACCCTAAACCCTAAACCCTAAACCCTAAACCCTAAACCCTAAACCCTCTTTTTTTTTTTGGGGGGGGGGGGGGGGTTAGGCTCCCTTATAAGCCACTTGCATCCCAAGAAGCTCTTTAGTCCCAGGTCACCCCGGGGTCCAGAAGTTAGGGGCTTACCTCAAGCCTTAGGCCCTAAACTTAAAGCCGACGGGGCTTGGGGCACCCTAAACCCTAAACCCTAAAGGGCTTAGGAGCCATCACCACTCTTCAGGTTTCGACGGTCCCTGAGTATGGCCCCGTGCCTTCTTTAAAAAGGCGGGCCCATGGCCGGACAATGGGCCGTGCATAGCTTGACTGACGCCTCAGTGGAAGGGAACTCAGGCATTCCTGACATCGGTGAGAACGGAGGGGTGGGCTACCACTATGGTAAGACCGCCGACGGGCGGCCAGCGGCAGTCTGTCCAAGGCAAGTTGATCAGGCATCGATCAAATTGCAGGCACTACTTTAAGGACAAGCTGCTCTCGGATCTAAACCCTAAACCCTAAACCCTAAACCCTAAACCCTAAACCGTCAGGGCAGTCGCCAGGCCGGGCATCATTGCACTCAAAGGCCTGACCTTGCGCGGTCGGAGCTTGGCCGACCTTGGGGTTCGTAGGGTATAGAAGGGGTTTAGGGTTTAGGGTTTAGGGTTTAGGGTTAAAAGGGTTAAGAGGGTTCCCCTAAGAAGGGCCCAGAACATGGGCCCTCAACCCCAAACCCCAAAAATCCTCAACCCCAAAACCCTAAACCCCAAAACCCCAAACCCTAAATTCCCTAAACCCTTCTCCCCAAACCCTGAAGCCCTAAACCCTAAACCCTAAACCCTAAACCCTAAACCCTAAACCCTAAACCCTAAACCCTAAACCCTGGACCCTCACCACTTCCCCAGGTGAAAGAGTCGCTAGTTCTTGCCGGCGAGCTCAACGACACGCGGGAGCAGGCAGATCTTCTTTTCCCCAAATAGGTGGTCATAGAATTGAGAATATACTAGTAGCTTAAGAACCTCCCCCCCCCCCAAAAAAAAAAACAAAGAAAGAAAATCAAGACATAGTTCTTCCTGATAAGGGTAGTCTAGTATGTTTTGTGTATGTTTTCATGTTTCGAGGGTTCGTAAGCAAATAGTAGGAGTAGGAGCAGTCTTAATTATCAAATTCGCAATAACAACAGTTTTTCATATTAGTAATAACATGGATTGGGGAAGGGTGTTTACAAGTAGAACTTCTTACCAAAGCCTCCCCCAGCCCGGCCGAAACGCTGAACCCTAAGCTACTATTTGCTTAAGAATCCCATCCCTCACTAACAGATAATTAGTCCCTCCACTTCCATGCCGCAGGCGAAGTGCCTCGCCCAGCTCTGCCGCATGCACCTCCTGTCCCGGCAGTGCCCTCGCCCGAAGCGACAAAGCTTAAGAGGGTTTAGGGTTTAGGGTTTAGGGCTTATTCCCCAAAATGACCCATTGCCATATATCACCCCTTTATATACCTCATACAGAAATAACCCTTAGATGACCCCTAAGGTCCCTTAGTAGGGTCCCTCCTTTAGTCCCTTGAAAAGCCCTCTTCACAAGCTCTCGGCTGAGAGCTATCTGGTTCTATGGTTTAGAGGTGTTCAGGGTTTCGGGTTTTGGGTAGGGTTTGAAGTCTAGGGTTCAGGGTGTTCAGGATGTAGGGTTTGGGGCTGAGGGTCCCTAAACCCTAAATCCCAAACCTTAAGACCCTAAAGCTTGGGGTTTAGGTTGGTTTTGGGTTTTCGGTGTCGGGCTGAGAGGCTTTTTTAGGGGAATTTCCTGGTTTCAACTTGGGTGTGTGAGTGGGGTTTTGGGTTTAGGGTTTAGGGTTAAGCGTTAAGGGTTTCGGGTTTAGGGTTTAGGGTTGGGGGCCCGAAACCATAAACCCTAAACCTGACGCAGCAGCCTCATCCCTAAACCCTATACCCCAAACCCTAAGCCCTACATGTTTAGGGCCTTTTAGCGGTTTTTCAAGCTTAAGGTTGCTTTAACCACATGAAGCGCTTCAGTCTGCGAGGTACAAGGAAGCCATCGAGCCGGGTTCTCAGAAATATCCCATCGCGGACAAGCGGTCTAGGGTGCAGGGTTCCAAGCCCTAAATTGGCCCTAAATCCTATGAACACTACAAAAGGTTTAGGGTTTAGGGCTTGGGGTTCTAGCAGTTTGGGTTTTCTTAAGGTTGAAAATCGTGAATTTGGCTGCGACGGTGGCTCAGGGATTGGGGGATTGGGGGATCGGAATTGGTGTTTCTGCTGTGCTTTGGTAAACCCGAAACCCTAAACCCTAAACCCTAAACCCTAAGCCCTAAACCCTAAACCCACGGGCAGGTTCGCGGAGGAAGCGCAGGTGGTCTTCCAGAAGAGCCAGGACAAGTGTGGCGAGGCCCTGGAAGTTTAGGTTTTAGGGGCTTTAGGGGTTTTAGGGGTTTTCGGGGTTTTAGGGGTTTTAGGGGTTTTAGGGGTTTTAGGGGTTTTAGGGGTTTTAGGGGTTTTAGGGGTTTTAGGGGTTTTAGGGGTTTTAGGGGTTTAGGGTTCGGGCTTCAGGGTTTAGGGTTTAGGGGTTTAGGGGTTTTCGGGGTGTGAGGGTCCTAAGGGGGTTTAGGGCTTTTGGGGGTTTTCGGGGTCTTAATTGGGGCTTTTTAATTTTAACGCTACGCGACCCGCCTCGGCCCGGCCCAGCGCATCCGTGTGAGCATGGTGATTCCGCAGCGCCCAAGTCGCTGGACCCCAAGCAATAAGGGTTGGGTTGAGGGTTGAGGGTTGAGGGTTGAGGGTTCCGGGTTTATGGTTTATGGTTTGGGGTTTGGGGTTGAGGGTTAGTTTAGGGCTCAAGGTTCACGCTTTGGGGTTGAGGGTTTTTTTGGGTTTAGGGTCCGGCTTGGAGGTTTAAGGGGTCGTAGGGTTGAAGGGGGGGGGGGGGGGGGGGGGGGGTGGGGGGGGGGGGGGGGTGGGGGGGGGGGGGGGTGGGGGGGGGGGGGGTGGGGGGGGGTGGGGGGGGGGGGGGGGGGGGGGGGTAGGGGTGGGGGGGGTGGGGGGGGGGGAGACGAAAGAGGGGGGACTTGCACGGCCCTGCTGGGAGGGGCTTCAACTGCCTCTGGTCCTGGCGAACCGTCCGCTTGCGGACCCCGGTTTCCCACAAGGGCTACCCATAAAAAGGGGTCCGAAAAAGGGCTTTGGGTGTGGGGGGATTTGGAGGGGGGTGCCTGTTCTGACAACCTATACACCTCCGGCCCGAGGCCTCGGCGGATTGGGGCTTTTGGGGTTTTAGGCTTTTAGGGGGCTTTTAGTTCGGGCTTTTAGGGGTTTTGGGGCTTTTAGAGGTTTTAGGGCTTTTAGAGGGCTATTAATTAGGGTTGTTTTTGGACAAGTGTAGCGAGGCCCCAAGGCGCCAATGGGGGAGGTTAGGGTTTAGGGTCTAGGGTTTAGGGGTTGTAGGGTTTAGGGTTTAGGGGTTGTAGGGTTTAGGGTTTAGGGTTTAGGGGTTGTAGGGTTTAGGGTTTAGGGGTTGTAGGGTTGTAGGGTTTAGGGTTTAGGGGTTGTAGGGTTTAGGGTTTTACGGTTTTGGGGTTTACCGTTTTTTGGGGTTTTTGGTTTTTCGGGTGTTAGGGCAGGCGGACGGTTGACAGACATCATCCTCAACGGTGAGAGGCTGTGGCCTGCCGCTGAAGCAGACCTGCGGCTCAAGTCGATGATCGACAGGTCTAGGCATGCAAGCATTGCCGCTGCAACATTGGCTCAGGCAGACAGGGAGGCAAGCTGTTGAGAGCGACAGCCCTCTACATCGAGGACGAGGTCAGGTCCATTGACTTCGCATGGATCAGACCGGCCACCGGCAGCTTCCCTAGGCTGCTCGATGATCGTCCTGAGCTTGGCGCCAGCTATGACGCCAGGATGTCAGATCTCGACGCCGAGAGGCTGACGAGATAGGGTTTTGGGGTTTCAGGGTTTGCAGGGTTTTAGGGCCCTAAACCCTAAACCCTAAACCCTAAACCCTAAACCCATAAGGTCTGCTTGGGTTGCAAGGCCTTTGAGAAGTAGGAAGCCGGCCTCTCCCTGCAGGGCATGCCCCCAGCCCTTGGCTGGATTAGGGGCTGAGCATCTAGGAAGATGATTGTCGGATTGATACCACAGACAATTTCTATTTATTTTGTCTTGAGGGTTTAGGGTTTAGGGTTTAGGGTTAGGGTTTAGGGTTTAGGGTTTAGGGTTTAGGGTTTAGGGTTTAGGGTTTAGGGTTTATGATGGGAGTTGGTTGCCTTATATCCCCCCCGAGATGCACCCTTCAGGGAATTCTAGAGGGTCAGAACCAGCAAGTTTCAGGTTTGGACTTTTCAGGGCAGTTGTTGTGCAGAGGACCAAGCCAAGACGCCAACGCCCCTGCTTGTGGCATGTTAGGGGTTCATAGTTTAGGGTTTAGGGTTTAGGGTTATAAGGGGCTGCGGGGCTTTGGGGGGTGTTAGGTTCAGAGTCTGACTTTTTGAAATTTTTTTCGGGCCGAGGGAGCCCTCAGATTTTGGGCCTGTAGGGCTCTGCAGTTGAGGCGCGAGACCGTACTCGGATGTTCATGGCTAGTCCCCAAACCCCAAACCCCAAACCCTGAACCCTGAACCCTAAACCCGAACCCTAAACCCTAAGTTCTAAACCCTAAACCCTAAACCCTACTTCTAGGTACCCATGAACCTCCAAGTGCCCTGCTCCCAGGGCGTGACGCTGCTCAACAAGGCTTCGGCCCACATGGGCCTCGGCGAGATCGATGTGGCCCGTGCCTGAGATTTGAGGGTTTAGGGTTTAGGGTTTAGGGCTTAGGGTTTAGGGTTTTGGGTTTAGGGTTCAGGGTTTAGGGTTCAGGGTTTAGGGTTTAGGGTTTCGGGCTTAGGGTTCAGGGTTCAGGGTTCAGGGTTTAGGGTTTAGGCTAGGTTCGTGGCGGTGGAGCCGCTTGGGAGGCATTCTGGGGTTGCCGTGCAGTATTCACTGGTGGTATCAGTTGACAAAGCAAGCACTGAAGCACAAGGAAGAGCAAGAACAGAACTACATACAGCTCACGCCAGCGACCATCAGTTCCCTAAACCCTAAACCCTAAACCCTAAACCCTAAACCCTAAACCCTAAACCCTAAACCCGAAACCCTAAACCCTAAACCCTAAACCCTAAACCCTAAACCCTAAACCCTAAACCCTAACCCCTAACCCCTAAACCCTAAACCCTAAGCCCTAAACCCTAAACCCTAAACTCAGCCTGGCCACCCTGGCATCCTGATTGTCGCTCCGTTTCAGTTGGAAGAAGAGCTAAAAATCTGCACCGCCGACGACCTCGCCTCCGGCCTCGCGACAACTGCTACGTGAGGGTTTAGGGTTTAGGGTTTAGGGTTTTGGTTTAGTGTTTAGGGTTTTAGTGTTTATGGCGAGTCTTCGGATGACCGTTTAACATGGAGTATGTAGGTGTTTTTTGTTTATGCTCTTGTGTTTTGTGTTTTTTCTCTTCTGTTGCTCGCGAGTGTACATATATATATATATACATACACGTATATGGGTGCTTGTCCTTGTGGGTGCTACCATGCAATATAATCGCAATGTCCTGCCGACACACCTGCCCTTGTCGAAGCGGACTTTGACACTTCTTCGGGACGAAGCGTTCCTTTCTGGGGGGGGGGGGGGGGGGGCGTGCCTAAACCACAAACCCCCCCGGAACAACCAAAACGTAAAATCTAGCCAGGCCCGAGCCAACCTCACTGAGCAGTAAGCCTTAGACCACCCTAAACCTTAAGCTCTCAACCCTAAACCCTAAACCTTAAGCTCCCAACCCTAAACCCTAAACCCTAAACCTTAAGCTCTCAACCCTAAACCCTAAACCCTATGAAGCCCATGAAGGGCTTTGTTTTCAGCATCCTACCCCGAGGCTCTGCAGGTGGCCGAGGATGCCTTGGCCATGTTTCTCCAGGACGTCGTGAGGGTTTAGGGTTTAGGGTTTAGAGTTTAGGGTTTAGGGTTTAGGGTTTAGGGTTCAGGGTTTAGGGTTTAGGGTTTAGGGTTTAGGGTTTGGGGTGTATGTTCCGCCTGTCTTTCCTTAGCCAGCAGAAGAACTTTAAACGTTTGTGGTTTCCTGGTTTTGTCGGAAGAGTAAATTTAAGCCCTGTCATCCCGCGACTGTTTCGAGAAGCTACTCCCTAAACCCTAAGCCCTAAACCCTAAACCCTAAACTTTTCGTGGAGCCTTCTGGCCTTCTGGGAACGAATCCTCTAAGGGCGTGGAGTCCAACCACTATAGGGTTCTTAAGGGAGGGGGGTTTAGGGTTTGGAGTTTGGGATTTAGTGTTAAGGGTTTGGGGTTTCAAAAGGGGGGTTCATTAGGTAACCCAAGGTTCCCTAATACGCCCCACTACTCCCCAAGGCTCCCTAAGCTTCCCGAAGGTTCCCGAGGTACCTACCCCCCGGTGAACCCCGCTCCCTTAAGAACCCTATAAAACCGGCCACCCCGGGGGAATGAGTCTGTCAGCAGGCCACTTCAGGAGTTAGGGTTGAGGGTTTAGGGTCAAGGGCTGAGGGTTTAGGGATTTAGGGCTGAGGGTTTAGGGTTTCGAGGCAGAGGGCTTGGGGAATTGGATGGTGTAGGTTTTGGTCATAAGGTTTGGTTTTGGGCTTCATAGGGCTCACTGGGCAAGCACCACGATATGTTGCTTCTTCGTGGCCAGGAGGAGGACAAGAGGCAGGAAGCGACTGCCCACCACTTCCTCTACGAGATCCACACGCCGCCCAGAAGAAGAAGCCTGAATCCGCGAGCCCCCTCGACAGTTTCGTTTAAGAAGTTGGCAACCGCAGGGTTTAGGGTTTAGGGTTTAGGGTGTAGGGTTTAGGGTTTAGGGGTCAGGATAGACTAAGACTAGGACCCAGACTAGGCCATTTTTCCCTTGTTGCAGGGTGTAGGTCCCCTTATAGGCACCTTAAAACCAACAAGGGTGCCCTGTTTTCTTCCTAGGTTACTTTTGGGTCGTCCCAAACCCTAAGCCCTGAACCATGTTTACCCCCAGGTTTCTCTTAGGTCTGCTTCAGGGCATATATAGGTTGTCGCCCTAAACCCTAAACCCTCACCCTGTTCATTCCCAGGTTACTCTTAGGTCCGGTAAAGGGCAAAAGGGGCTTAGTAGTAGAGTCGGTAACCTTTAACCTTTTTGGGTTCATACATTCCCCTTATAATCCCAAAGGTTAACCTTTAAAACCCCTAGGTACTGGACAACTAAGGGGGTGCCCACCATAGCCATTGAACTCCTTTCTCCACGGAAGCCCTGGGTCCTTGAGCCCTAGAGACCCCAAAAAAGAAGCTGAAGTATTGCCAATTCCTCGGCCCTTTTGGGATTAGGGTTTAGGGTTGAGGGTTGAGGGTTGAGGGTTGAGGGTTCAGGGTTCAGGGTTTAGGGTTTAGGGTTTGGGGGTACATGTTCCCTTCTCTCATTTCACCGATGGAAGAACTTGAAACTTTTTGGGGGGTTTTGCTGGTTCTGGGTAGCCCAGTTGTGCCCTTTGCCCTTCTTTTTTGGTGCTGGGTTCCCTACTTTCTGAAAAGGGTGCCCTGATTATGATATGGGGGTTTACGATAACAAGGGACCCCTAAAATAGACCTCCAAATAGTAGGAATCCCTCATGAAGGACCCCAATCAGGTACCTCCAAAGTCGTAAACCCCCACATGGGTAATTCCCAAAATAGGGGACCCCCTATGAGACCCCCAACGACTGCAATCCTTATTCTAGAAACCCTTACTGGTACAAGGGTACCCCTGTTTGTCGAAAACCCCCATCTGGTTACTGGCTTAAGGGCAGGGGGTTCATGGGGGTAGGTGCCTAGGGAACATTAGGGAAGCTGAGGGAGCCTTAGGGAGTAGTGGGGAGTATTAGAGGACTGCCGGGTGGAGTTCGGGCACAGGGTTGAAAGTTTAGGGTTTAGGGTTTCGGATTTAAGGTATAGGTGGCCCCCTCCCGTGACTTCTTGCAGAACCTGAAGGCCACACCGAGAACTGTTGGCCGAAAAAGGGCCACGCAGCCTTGCAGTTGGCTGCCGCCTTGAAGTTCCACTTGGGAAGAACCGAAAGGACCCTGGCGACCCCGATTCTGCCCTTCCTGCCAAGCTCACGCAGGCCATGGACCATCTTTCTCGGTAGAGCAGGGCCAGAAGCCAGAGCCGCTTGGCCTGGAGGACAGCTACAAATCTGAGACACAACCTTCTGAACGGTTGGCTGGCAGACGGAGGCAGGTGCAGCAAGCACGGCAAGACAGCCTCACTTCAGTTCAGAAGTGCCCAGAACCACAAGGTCAAGTGGATCGCATGGCAACAGGTCAAGACGAAGTACGGGTAGACCCAAAAGCTTTCGCCCTAAGGGCCCATGTACCTGGTTATTTTAGACTTGGGCCTAAACCCTAAACCCTAAACCCTAAATCCTAAATCCCCTAAACCCTAAATCCCCTAAACCCTAAACCCAAACATACCTCCTAAAACAGGGACTGTAGGACCCCAAGCGTATAATCATGAGGTACATGGACCCTTCGGGTCAGGCTCCAGAACCTCCTAAGGCTTTAAGAGATGGGCCGAAACCCTAAACCGAAACCCGAAACCCTAAACCCCAAACCCTGAACCCTGAACCCTTTTTCTTTGCTGCGTGCAGTTACCCCCCACATCCGCCAGCCGTTTAAACTCCTGCCCTCTAAACCCAATCTTTTCCGAGGCCCCAGCAGTTTTTACAGTGCCACCCTAAATCCTGAACGCCAATCCTTCTTATTTGCTCCTATGTATCTGGGTTGTCCTTTGGGATATTTCTGGGTCTCCCCTCCTTCCTTCTAAGGCGGGAACCTGTTCATAAATATTCTTCAAAGGGTTTACAGCACAACTCAGTTGCAGTCACAGTAGCCCTAAACCCTAAACCCTAAACCTGTTTAGCAAGGGACTGATCAGTCCCGTCCGGTTTAGGGTTTAGGGTGTAGGGTTTAGGGTTTGGGGTTTAGGGTTTAGGGTTTGGGGTTTAGGGTTTGGGGTTTAGGGTTTAGGGTTTAGGGTTTAGGGTCAAATCCCTTTGGCTCTTTTCTCCGAGGCAGGCTGGCAACTACGAGGCCTGAATCTGTGGCTCTTGCAGTGGGGTTGGGGTGGGGCAGGGGGCTCAGCAGACGTTGAAGGGCTTAGGGAGGAAGCTTAGGTTGAGGGTTTAGGGTTTAGGGTTTAGGGTTTGGGGTTTAGGGTTTAGAGTTTAGGGTTTAGGGCAGCTACAAGGTGTCCGATTTCCCCCCCCCCCCCCCCCCCCACCCCTTTATGGCTGCCAGGCTGCTCTCAGAGAAGCCATCATGGCCAGGTCCGCCACCGATTTTTGGGGGCTTAGGGTTTAGGGTTTAGGGTTTAGGGTTTAGATGGGTTTAGGGTTTAGGGTTTAGGGTTTAGATGGGTTTAGGGTTTAGGGTTTAGGGTTTAGATGGGTTTAGGTGGGTTTAGGGTTTAGGGTTTAGATGGGTTTAGGTGGGTTTAGGGTTTAGGGTTTGGGGTTTGGGGTTTGGGGTTTAGGGTTTAGGGTTTAGGGTTTAGAATGGGACCTTCAGGTTCGGCTCCAGATCAAGTCATATAGGACTCTACCTCGGGCCCCAAGGGTTTTGCCCTTGGGTGTGGGCCATCTTTCAAGCTCCTCTAAGAGAGTCGGGTTTAGGTTTAGGGTTTAGGGTTTAGGGTTTAGGGTTTAGGGTGTAGGGTGTAGGGTGCAGGGTTTAGGGTTTAGGGTTTAGGGTTTAGGGTTTGGGCAATATTAGGAGTATGAGTATAGTAACCCTAAGGTTGCACACTTGGGTTTGGCCCTTTTTCAAGATCCCCTAAGATAATATAAAGGCAATACTAGGAGCGTTTTAGGGGTACAACCTGAGGGGTACGAGTCTTGATCCCTTCATCAGGGGACTAAGACTCGCACCCCTAAGGTTGTACCCCGGAACGTTTCCCTTAACATGCTCGTAGTAGGTCCTGTATACTACCTTAAGCATGTAGTAGGTCCTGTATACTACCTTAAGGGTCCGAAAAACGGGTACCTTAAGGGCCCAAGGTAGAACCCCTCGGCTCCAGGGCAAATTTGGGTCCCTGCATCAGGGGCTTGTTTTTTGGTGCGAAGAGTGTCCTAGAAGTTATCTTCATGTGGGCCCCCTAAGTTGGATCAGCCCCTACACCCTAAACCCTAAACCCTAAACCCTAAACCTTAAACCTTAAACCTTAACCCTAAACCCTAAACCCTAAACCAAAGCTTCCCTAAGCCCTTCAATCTAACCTTGCAAAGCTTAGCAGCCCCTAAATTCCCGAAGCTCCGCAGACGCTAAAGCCAGAAAGCTTGCAGTTTCAGCAGTAGGTGAAACCCCAAAGCTCAGGTTTTACTGCCATTTGCTCAAAAACCCCCCCCCCCCCCAAACAAAGAAAATAAAAACTCACAAGTAGAAAAAACAGAACAATGACATTCTTCCTTCTAAGGGAAATACAGGGATGATCATCTTCTAGTTTTGTCGGGTTCTTGAGCAAAAAGTTTATGAGGGTTTCAGGGCTTGAGTGCTTGCGCTTGGAATTGCTTACTCTGCAGAAGATGGGCGCCTTTATGTCGACCTTACGTCCTGTTGGCCTCCGGTACCCTCCGAATTTCGAGCCGGACCCGACGGCGACCCCCTAAATCTTAGAATCTAGACCCTAAACCCTCAACCCTAAACCCTAGACCCTAAACCATAGACCCTAAACCCTCAACCCTAAACCCTAAACCCTAAATCCTTATCCCCCCCTCCCCTCCCTTTCCAGAAAACAGAAAGAACACACTCCCAGCTGAGCAGGACGATGTTCCACAAGCTGGGCGACCAAAGGGAGGAGGCCCGAAGATGGTTGGTTAAGGTGTCGGGTTAAGGGTGTAGGGTGTAGGGTTCAGGGTGTTAGGGTTTAGGGTTTAGGGTTTAGGATTTTAGGGTTAGGGTTTAGGATTTTAGGGTTTAGGGTTGAGGGTTGAGGGTTTAGGGGTCGGGTCCTTCAGGCAGGGCAGTTCATGGAGGGGTAGGTACCTAGAGGAAGCTTAGGGAGCCTTAGGGAGTCGTTGGGAGTTAGGGAGTCTCGGATAGCATAGCTCACCTTGAACCCCACTCCCTTAAAGATCCTATACGAGGTAGGTTTCTGGGACCCAGAGTAGGCCTGTTTTTTGTTCTTTTTTGTGCGCGGAGGGGGGGGGGGTTTAGTCCCCTAGCAAGCCCCTTTAACCACAAAGGCTGCCCTTTCTGTTCCTAGGTGACTCTAGGGTCTAGTGTTTTAGGGCTCTACTGTTTTTTGAGGCTCTAGTGTTTGAGGTTTTGGGCTTCGAAGGTTAGGGATTCGAAGCTGGGGGGTTGCCCCTCTATGCCCGAATCCCTAAGGCCCTAAGACCTAAAGGGTTTGGAGCTTTGGCTTGCGAAGCCAGCCAAGGTGATGTTGAACATCCATCATGATAGGTCTGCCACATCTGCCTGGATTCCCACCCTAAACCCTAAACCCTGAACCCTAAACCCTAAACCCTAAACAGGGTTTAGCCATGCTACAACACACTGCTCTTAAGGCCCGGCAGAGCGCCTTCAAGCCCTCAGCCCCGAATCCTCAGCCCTAGGGTTTAGGGTTTAGGGTTTAGGGTTTAGGGCTCAGGGTTTAGGGTTAAGGGTTTAGGGCTTAGGGTTTAGGGTTTAGGGTTAGGGCTTAGAGTTCAACCCTACCCTGGGTTTGCCTACTGGTTCTTAGAAGGGAATGAGGGGAGGAGCCACCCTCAAGGATCCCTCACCAGGGCATAGATAGGGAGGTACAAGAGCCACTAGGGTTAAGGTGTAGGGCTTGGGGTTTCTGGCTAATTAAACCCTAAACCTGAACCCCCAAACCCCAAACCCCAAACCCTAATCCCCAAACCCTAATCCCCAAACCCTAAACCCCAAACCCCAAAACCCTGGACCCTAAACCCTAAACCCTAAACCCTGGTTAGGTTATTATTTTTTTTTTTGGGGGGGGGGGAATCTGAGACCCTAAACCCTGAACCCTAAACCCTAAACTCTAAAGTGCCCAGGCCTCGATGTGCCTGCGCGTCTCTTGCGCGCACATCCAGGACCCGGCCTCAGTCAGAGCTTCAGGGAGTGTAGGGTTTAGGGTTTAGGGTTTAGGGTTTGGGGTTTGGGGTTTAGGGTTTAGGGTTTGGGGTTTAGGGTTTAGGGTTTAGGGTTTGGGGTTTCTAGGGTTAAGGGTATAGGGTTTAGGGTTTAGGGTTGGGGTTTAGGGTTTCTAGGGTTTAGGTTTCGGGTTTAGGGTCTGGGGTGTTTATGGTTTAGGGGTTAGGGTCTAGGGTTAAGGGGTTTGGGGGTTTAGGGTTTCTAGGGTTTGGGGTTTGAGGTTTAGGGTTTAGGGTTTAGGGGTTTGGGTCTAGGGATAAGGGTTTTTAGGGTTTAGGGTCTAGGGTGTGGGGTTTAGGTGGCTTTAGGGAGTTTAGGGATTGTAGGGTTTAGGGCGAATAGGGAGTTTCAGGAGTTTAGGGTTTAAGGTTCAGGCGATTTTGGGGTTGATACGGTTTAGGGGTTTATAGGGGTTTCGGGAGTTTCGGGTTGACGGGTTGCAGGGTGCGTGGCCAGATAGGACATTGGGATGTTTCATATTTCAGTTTTGGGGTTTAAGGGGTCGGAGTAATTAAGGAGCATGTTTTAGAGGTTTTAAAGGCACAACCCAAAAGAAGACTACAACCGCTTAGATTTAGGGCTTGGCGTCCCTAAATCCTACACCCTTAAGGAAAAAGGTTTTAGGGTCTACGCACTAAACCCGCTAAACCAAGCAATGCTCACTCAGAGAAGTGTAAGTGTGAACCTGTCCCAAGTCCCCACCAAGTGTTTTGGGGGTTGGGGCCCCATGTTTAGGGTTTAGGGTTTTAGGGTTTATGGTCTGGGGTATCTTCAGATCTTAACCCCGCGATCTTTACAGCAAGCCACACTAGTAGAGTAGGCAGCCTTTAACCTTTTTTTTGTTGGGGGGGGGGGGTACTATAATCCTTACCTAGGTTGGCTTTTGGGATGTAAACTCTCCTTATTTGGGTTTAAAAGGGGCCCCTACACACAAATCTTTTTCAACGGCTGAAAAGGCCAACCCTGTTGCATAGTCCCTTTAGTTCCCCTAGGATACTGGACAACAGAAAAACTCTTGGCTTGAAACCCAAATTCGGGTTTAGGGTTTAGGGGTTTTTTTAGGGTACCTCACAGCCTCGAAGCCCCAAACCGCAGGGGGGGGAGGGGAGGGGGGGGGGGGGGGGGGGCAACACTGCACCATTTTCATTTTGAAGCAGTTAGGGTGCTAAGAACTCGTACGTTAGGCATGTGCCCTTGGCAGGTCCTGAACAACAGCAGGAACTTGGGCCGACGAGAGACCAAGAAAGGCGGGGAGACCTCAACCATACGCCCCTACACCTCCAACCCCGACCCCTAAACCCTAAGCTACCATTTGCTTATGAACCCCAAAAGAATAACATACAACAATCCCTATATTACCCTTCATAAGGATGTTGTTTTTTTTTTTTTTTAATAACTTTTAGGTGTTCTTAAGCAATTAGCAGTAAGCCTAACACCCCTAAACCTCCACCCCTCGACCCCCTAAACCCGAAGGCTTGGAGCGTAAGGTTCAGGTACCTAGACACACTGAATTCGTTATCCCAAGCTGGGGCCGAGCCCCAGATGCCGTTTAGGGTTTAGGGTTTAGGGTTTAGGGTTTAGGGTTTAGGGTTTAGGGTTTAGGGTTTAGGGTTCACCCAAGCCCTAAGCCCCAAGCCCTGTTAAGCCCAAAAAGTATCAAACCACCTCTGGCCTTGTTCATTGACAGCAGGAGGCATACTTGGAGGTTCATGAGTAGTTATAAGAAGGGTATATAAGTAGTGTAACTATACTTGTAGCCCTGTTTGGGATACTTACAACACTACTTATAGCTACCCATGAACCTCCAAGTAGCACATAAAGTCGACACTACTGAACCCCCCCGCCCCCTTCCCGATTGAGAGGTGGCACCTAAATTCCACACAGAACCCTTGCGAAACCAGTTTCTGAATTCCAGAGCCTCAAAGCACCACCTTCCACAC